GTCTCAGGGAAACCTCATCCTAAAATTTAAATACAGGAAGGTGCAAGCCTAGTATGAAAAAAAAATTATAAGCCTTGTTAAACTATCAGGAGAAACTGAAACTTACACATTGCTGGTGGGAATGTAAAATGGTACAGCTGTTTCAGAGAAGTCTGGCAGTTCCTGAAAATGTTAAACACGTTACCCTATGACCCAACATTCCACGCCTAAGTATACTCAAGAGAACTGGAAACACATGTTCACACAAAACCTTGTATATGACTAGTCAGAGTAACATTATTCATGGTAGCCCTGAGTGGAAACAACCCAACAATCCACCACCTAATGAATGAATGTTACAAACAAAACACAGAACATCCATACAATGGACTATTATTCAGGTATAAAAAGGAATGGAGAACTGATACTCATGAGTGGATCTTGAGAACATTATGCTCAGTGAAAGAAGTCAGAAATAAAAGGCCACATATTGCATGATTCCATTTTGTAAGAAATGTCCATAAAAGGCAAATAAATAGAGAGAGAAAGTAAATTAATGGCTACCAGGAGATTGGACACCAACAGCTAATGGATGTAGGATTCTTTTGGGGGTGATAAAAATGTTCTGAAATTAGACATTGCTGACTTTTGCATGAGTTTGTAAACATACTGAAGCTTAACAAGTTGTATACTTTACAAAGATAAATTTATGGTATGCAAATTATTTCTCAATAAAACTTTTATTTAAAAAAAGGAATCATAGGAATGAGAAAAAATTCTTGTAAGTCAATAAACCCTGTTCTTTCCCTAAACTCCAGAAGGGCATATGTAATTGGATATTTGAAATCTCCACTTGGATGTTGAATAAGCATTAAAACTTTGTGTCTCAAATGGAACTCCTTGTTTGCAACATTGTGTCACCTAAATTTTTGCCTCCTTTGGTTTTTCCCATTCCCCATCTCTAGAAACGTCAAACATCATGCTTCCAGTTGCACAGGTAGATTGGGGTTCACCCCCAAAAAAATTTAATATAAACACACACACACACACACACACACACACACACACACACACACAACCATATACAGGATTTACCAGGGCAGCTAAACAGGATCAGAAGCACAAGAGTCCCGTGGCTGCCTTGAGAATCTAGAGTGGACAAATGTAAAGGCCTAAAGCTCACTGCAGAGGCTGATGAGAGTCCATGTTGGAAAAACCAAAGGGCCTGCACAGGAAGACTTCAGAGTCTAAACTAGAAACCGAAGGAACCGGAGACTGATTTTCAAAGGCAATGACACTGACCATGGCTCCTCCCAAGAAGAAAAAGGAGAAGACATCCTCCTTCTTTCCCTTTTTATTCCACCCAAAGAACAAGCCCATTGGTTGATGCTACCCACATTTGGGTTGTATCTTTCCTATTTTTTTTTTTTTAGCCTGCAGTTTATCAGCCACAGACACACTCAGAGTTTGCTAATCTGCTAGGCAGTTCCTGCCTAAGTCAGGTTGGCATGTCGCCGCAATCAAACGTCACATTAGGCCAAGGGGAAAAAAAAGAAACCATCTTTGACTCCTTTTTCTCTTCTTCCTACCAGGCATCAAGTCCATCAAAAAGTCCTAGACTTCCAGAAAGACAGTTTCGGAATCTGACCATTTCTCATACTTTTGTATCTATCACTCTGGTCCAACCCAACATCTGCTCTTGGCTGGACTATGGCATTAGCTTCCAAACTTATTTTCTTTCTATCATCGCCTTGCAGTAACTGAATTACTTCCTAAAATTCATGCTGTAATCAGCAGGACATCTGATTGTACTTGGACACAAAACCTTTAGGGATGTCATTAACCTAACATGAGGCCATTAGGATGGGCCCTAACACAATCTGATCAGCATCCTTCTAAAGAAGAGGAAATCTGTACACAGGGAGACACGGGAGGGCTGCACGCACAGAGGAGACCACATAGAAGGCACATGAAGAAGGTGGTCATTGGTGGACTAGGACTGTAGACACAAAAACAACCTCATGTACCTAGGGCCATCTGATGTTTGACACAGGGGCCAAAAACATATGTTGGAGAAAATACACCCTCAAGGAGGTTCTGGGAAAACTGGTTATCCACATGCAAAAGACGGAGACCAGGTCTGTATCTCTCACCCTAGAGTAAAATCAAATGAAAATGGATCAAAGCCTTAAATATAAAAATAGAAACTTTGAATCTGCTGGAAGATAACTTAGGGGAAACACTTAAAGCCATAGCCATAGGAAAGGACTTTCTGAATAGAAATCTAGTAGCATAGGAAATAATACCAAGGATTTACAAAAGAGATTGTATCAAATTTTAAAACTTCTGCATGGCAAAGGAAACAATCAACAGAGTGAAGAGGCAGCCTACAGAATGATAAAAATAGCTTGCTCTTCTGATAAAAGGTTACCATCCAGACTACATAAAGAACTCAAAGAACCTGTCTTCTAAAAACAAATGACCCAACCAAAATATCAGCAGATGAACAGAATAGACAGTTCTCAAAAGAAGAAGTATAAGTGACCACTAAGTACATAAAAAATTATTCACTAGGTGATGGGTTGAAATGCAAATCAAAACAGCTCTGAAATTCTAAGTTACTCCATGCGGCATGGCTACCACCAAGAACCCAAAAAGCAACAAATGCTTTTAAGATTGTGGAGAAAAGGGGACCCTTCTATATTGTTGGTGAGAATGTAAACTAGTACAATCACTATGGAAATCAGTACGAAGATTTCCTCAAAAAACTAAAAGTAGAAATTCTACTTGACCTAGCCATACTCTTCCTGCATGTATTTCCTAAAGAGTTAAAGAGATACTATCATCATGTACACATATGCATGTTCGTAGCAGTGCAACTCACAATAGCTAAGCACTAAACATAGCCTAGATGTCTATCAACAGATGAATAGATAAAGAAAAAGTGGTATATATATATATATATATATATATATATATACATATATATATAGAGTGGAGTACTATGCAGCCCTAAAGAAGAATGAAATTATGCCATTTGCAGGAAACATATGGAATCTGAGACCGCACTCTTAAGTGAAATATGTCAAACACAGAAAGTTAAATATCAAATGGTTACTCTTACATGAGGAACCTAAAATGTAAATAAAGCGCATTAAACAAAGGAAATATTGTAGGAAACAAAAAGGCAGACTTGTAGGAGATAAGTACGGGATGGGGGTGCAAGACTGGGGAGAGGGGAAGATGGAGGAGGTAGTCAAAAATGATCAGAATGTGCTGTGCCCACATACTAATCCCATCCCCCAAATGAACATAATAATGATGTATTACAAATATAAAAAGAAAAGAGAAAGAAAAAGCAAGCATACAGGCAGTCATCAAGAACAAAGGCACCGGGCTAAGGATGTATCTCAGTGCAAGACTCTGCAAGAGGCCCTGGGTTTGACCCCACTTCCAAAATCAATCAAACAAACAAACAAACAAACCAAAACAAAACACAAAGGAGAGAGGCCTCAGAAGAAATCAAATTTGATGTGAAAATATAAATTCCTGCTTAAGCGACTTGGTTGATGCTATTTTCCTGTGGCCACTGAATCAGAGTTAACACAGGCCACAGCCTAGTCTCACGCAGTAGCTTGCGTGAAATCACCCTGCTCTCTGCTCAACCCCCTGGCCTCCACGCTCCTCTCCTGTCTCCCGGCTGCATCTCACATGCCTCCCTCTGGAGGGCACAAGGACCTCCTGTCCCGTCCTATGTGCTAGGCCACTGGGGCTTGTGGGAAGAGCCACAGACACAATCCCTCCCTGACCCCTGCAGTTTAAGACTCCCCATCACTGACCCACCCTGTGTGGCCGCAGCCACACAGCCAGGGCTCACTTCCTCACCCCCAGCTTCCTGCTCAGGTGGACTCCCACGGGACGGGACGGGACGTCCCCGGGGCTCTGTCTAGAACACCACACCTCTCCTCAGACTCTCTTCACTTCCTCCTCTCCCCCACCCCCTCCTCTCTCTCTTTCCCTCTCCTTCCCTCTCTCTCAGCCTCCCTCCTTTCCTCTCTGCCGGAGATCAAGACAGAGCCTTTGTTCATGGCTGTACCACTGTGCCAAGAACAGAGCCTGGAGTACAGCAAAAACTCAATAAATGTTCATTTTTTTCATTAAGGGAAAAATTAAGGAATTGAGGCTCTCTGGGTTACCTTTAAGACTAGACACTTTTTTCAGCTGCAAAAAGACTCAGAACCAATTCATGATCTGTCTTTGATAGTCATACACTGGAATTTATGTAGTAAATTTATGGGATAAGACAGTCTATGTGAGTTCCCAGCCTATCTTGCTGAGTGGACACAGGTTTTGTTTGTGTCAGGCATTCCCAGGGGAATTCTGAAGAGTCACAAATTCTCCTCCAGAATTTTTCGAGGAAGAAAAAATTCCCTTTAGAAGACCACCTCATGGTCAGTGGGGCATGGTGATGCCTGTGATCCCAGCACTTGGGAGGCTGAGGCAGGAGCATCGCCTCAGTTCAAGGACAGCCTGGACTGTATGGTGAGTTCAAGGCCAAACTAAACTGCATAGCGAGACCTTGTTGATTTTTGTTGTTATTGTTTGTTTTCATTTTTTGCAAGGAGAAAGTATGGAAAACTGCACTTTGAGGGAAGCAAATGTATCTTCTTAGCCTATAAAATGTTGGGCCAACTTTGAAGAGAGTGCTTTAAAATTTGCCTGCCCTAAAGGGCATGAGGGCGGTTTCTGGTCAGCTGCCTGGGTGCCTGGACTCACGGGAACAGAGGGGCCATTCATTGGCTGGCTGGCCGGATCCCTAGAGACTGGCTCTGGCCCTGTGCCCCACAGAGGAGGAAGGCTCTGTGGAGCTGGCAGCTAAACCTCCTCGGGCCACTTCACAGACATGTGGACGGCCCCTCGGCTCCCCGGGATGATAAACCCTACAGGCTGAGGTTGGGCCCCACGCCAGCCCTTTGGGATCCTGCTCACATTGTAACGCAACCAGAAACACGGAAAAGACACCAGGGACCAGAGATAGATTTATTTACATTGACGGGCACTGCTTCAGATCATTCCCAGAATACCAAGCCCCAATCTCTGTTGGTCTAGAGCTTATATGGGATAAGCAAACAGGAAGTACAGAGGTGGAATGGCTTGTCAGTTGGGGATTGGTTTACACAGTGCGCATCATGGAGACCAGCTCTGCATCACAGTGATCAGCTGTTTTTAAGGACAGAAACAACCTGAGGCGGAAAGGATCTATTACCCGGGCAGCTGAGAAACCAGCGTATACTGGCTCGGGCAGGGGGATTTTCTGTTACAGCGCAGGCACACGCAGAAGCAGGGGAGGAAATGTCTTCTCCAGAAGGAGGCTGCTAACTACAACCAGTCTCTTTGCCAAAGAAATGTGCCGTCTGCCGCAGGCAGGGTCAGAGTCAAGGTGAGGAGTCCTGTGTTTTTCCAGCACAATTTCTTGACACCAGACTCCACCTGGCCTCGGATCACATCACTTACTCAGCTTTCTTTGCCTCTTTGTGTTTTGTGGGTTGACACTTTCCCTTAGTTGCTGAGGAGTCTAGTTGAGTCAGAAGTCTGTAACACAGAAATTCTAGCTTAATTGTTCTATGTCAGAATCATTTTATAGGCAGTAACTCTCAAAGTGCACCTGTGGGAAGGTCAACTGTCCGAAACAGAGCAGCCCAAACCGCATGGCTGTCACAGGGGTGTCCTGCCTGTAGCCTGGGGGTGGTACAGGTCTGGCTTCTCAGCCACACTGAGCGAAGAGGAATTGTCCTGGGCCACATTTAAAGTAGGTAAGATAGTTAACGTATATAACAAGACTCCCTTCTAAAGTACTGTTTACTGTATCACAAGTGTGTAGCTCTGAGTGAGTGTGGGGCGAGGCCAAGGACGCTGCCTCTTGGTCAAGTGCTGCAGGTGACTGGCAGACAGCCATCTGCAGACCACACTGTGAGAATCAAATCCCGTAATGCTGATTAGCAGCACAGTGTAGTCCCTGGTTTATATTTGACTTAACGATATTCTTAACCTTCAGATAAAGCATAAAAGCAATACACACTCAATAAAAACTGTGCTTCAGGTTCTGATCTTTTCCTGGTTAATGACACATTTATAATACTCCCTCACTAGGCAGGGCAGCAATTATAACGGGGTAAACCACCACACACCACGGTCAGTGTGCATATTGCTAAGTTATGATGCTTGGCAGGCTGGGTGTATTAAACACAGTTCTGACTTACAATGGGTTTGTCAGGATACGACTCATTGTACGGTGTGAACATCTAGACTGGCGTTTGGATCTGGCCATGCACCTCCTGGTGCAGAATTTGCACATGTGCTCTGTCCCACAGAGGCATCTGGCACACAGCTAAGTTTGGGATGCACTGCTACAGAATGTATTTCTTTCAGAAAAGATGAGCCAGACTTTGGTTTTTGAGGTCTCCAATGTGGATTCCCACCACTGCCTGAAAATCAAGGATCACAGTGCTGGCATAGAAACCTTGGGAAAAAGTTGGCATGGGACTCAGCAGCTAAGATCTTTCAAAAGGAGAAAGTATCATTATAATGATTTTAAAGAACTTTTCTCTCCTTTCCTGGGTCTGGCAGGCATCTCTAAGGTGAAAGCGGCCACCACTACCCTCCTGGCTGGGAGACTGTGCCACTCTGCATTCTGTGGAAAGAAGGCAATAGTAGCAGCTGTATCCACTAGTCACCCTGGAGCCATCGGGCTGCATGCATCCTGGACAGCTGCACATTGCCACCAGATGGACTCCTTCATTCCAGGAGCCAGGATACTGCAGCGGCCTGGGAGCGATGCACTGTGATTGGTGGAGCTGTTTGTACCTGTACGTGATGATGTCACCCGCAGGAATGCCAGGGTCACTGAAGAGCAGTGAGTTCTCTGGGGAAGACCAGCCTGGGTACCAAATTCCAGTCAAGTTAACAACAGGATCCATGGTCAGACTTGCTTTGCAGCAGGCTGCTTTAGGGGGGTGGAGGTGGTAGAGACAGCTTTGAGTTTATGTTAAGGCGAGTCTCATTCAAATCAATGCAACCCTTGTTTCCCAGTCCTCAGAAGACAAGTAGGAATCACGGGCCAGCAGAAACTCAAGCTGCTGACCTGCTTAACTGCCAGCCACTGCTTTCTCCTTTCAACAAACATCAACCAAGTGCCACCAGAAACCACTGTAGCCACAGTGAGCGGCTGCTCTAAGTCGGGCACCAAGTTAGACTTGAACTGGCAAACTTTTATTCAGTGTTCACCAAACTACATAAATTAGAGAGCTGCTTCACCTATGAGGACACAAAGGATCTGTGAGGAGAAGCAGCCTGCTAGATGCCACTGAGCGCCCGACAAACTGCAACAGTGCCCGCTCCTGCAGCTCTGCGACTTCCCTGCATCCTCATCTACACAAAAACCAAACTTGATTCTCACTGTAGAGCTTTCTTCCTCTAGGCCTGCCAACATGCTCAAGTAACTTACACCCTGACCAGCCCCTGGCATTGTCTCTCCTTCCTCCGCTCCACTAGCTGTCTCAGGCAGGCTCCTCCATACTGTCCCTGGCTCTTCGATAACTGATATCTGCTGCTTCACCTGCCCTGCGTCCCCCTGATTCTTCTAACAGTTACCTCCCACATGCCTTGCTTATAGCTCCTTTGCTTGCTCAGAGCTCAGGGCTGAGCCTAGAGACTGCTCAGGATTCTGCAGTGACTGACCTGGGTATCCTCTGGTGCTCCCAGGACAGTGACCTGAAGAAGACTTTGGGTATCAAGAATGTGGCCTCGTCCATTTAACCTCCTGGCAGAAGTGTGACGAGATCAGATACCAACGTGGGATCGTGCTTCGAGTAAGCAGAACGTTGCTCTAGGGGTTCTGGAGCTTGAGCCAACAATGCATTCACCTGGAAGGGGAGCGGAGTTGTTAGACTAGAGATTGCTGAGCTCCACCTCCGGAGCTTTGCAGTCAGTGGACTGAGGTAAAAATTCCCTTTCTAACAACTTCCCAGCGTGATGGTGATGCTGCTGATCTAGGACCATGCTTGGAGAAATTCAGCTCTAGAGTTCAGGGTTGAGGTCTAGTGGTCAAGTCCTATCGCTGCTCTGTGGTGATCCCCTACCACCCTCTTCCCGCTTGACAGCCGCTCGCACTTCCCCTTCAGATGCTTTGCAGACCACAGATGCTCATGGCTGAGTGCAGTGCACCCTCTTGTGGTCCATGTGAAAAACGACCTGAACCGTAATGCACTCGCCTCTACTCTTTAACAGTTGAAGTCTGCCAAACATTGAATTTCATCTGCCTGACAAAAATCATCAGTCACCAGATCTGCCATGTAGAGAAGGAACCAAGGGTCTATTGAGCGTGTGATAGGTCAAACACTGACCTACGGATGTCCACATATGGCAGAAAGGATGAGATGTCTAGATCATCCAAACTGGATATAAATTCTCTGTAGGAGAGTAAGCCTTTGTAGCATAAGTTAAAGGTAAATAGTGTCAAAGCCTTTGAAAGACTGTGTGACTAAGAAGGAAAAATAGACAAACTCCAAACCATGGTTGGTCCCTGAACTCCAATGTCCTGGAAAGCTGGCAGTTTTGTAATTAAATTTATTGGTATATTCTAGGTGTACATAATGACCACATTCATTATAGGGAATTGTACCTGTACATGGTATAACTTCATTTTTTTTAAAGCTGGCATGATTAACTGTGGATCCCCTGCAAAAGCACTTTGGAATACTTGTCACCAGCTCTGTCACCAATTGATTTGGCACAGTCAGCTTCTCAGCGTTTAGTAGCTGTTACACTGCTGCTACAAAATTCACTGCCACCTAATGCTAGAGCCAGGAGCTGGTAACCAGGAAACAGGAACAGCTAGGCTGTCTTCTCAGACTGCAGCATGCACTAGCATCACCTGGAAGCCTTGTTACAACAGATTTTTGCACTCCTCCCCCAGGGATTCTGACTCAACAGACTAGGGCTAGGTAGGACCCAAGAACTTACTATTTTAATAACTTCTTGGCTGCTTTTGTCCCCAAGCAGAACAAAACCCTTCCTGTACTACACATTTACAGGACTTGATTATTAGTCAATCGAAATCTATAAACAATCAAGAAGCTTTGATTCAGGTGTCTTAACATGAGCACTATTGACATTCTGCATGATAATTCCTTGTGGGATGTGTGCATGTGTGTGTGTGTGTGTGTGTGTGTGTGTGTGTGTGTGTGTGTGGCTATCTTATCTATTATAGGAATTTTACCAGCATTCCCAGCCTCTACCTGCCAATAGCAGCCTCTTCTCCCCAGGTTCAATTATCAAACAGATCTCAGACATCAACAGGTGGCCCTGGAAGACAAAAATTGCCCCCAATAGAGAAGCACTGCTCTAAAAGGTAACAATGTTTTCCTCTCTCATCTGGTAGACTGTGAAGGCATCTTCGAGTTGCCTTATGTAATGATACTGACTGTCTTAGTCTATTTTGTGTTACTATAACAAGATACTTGTGACTGCCTAAGTTATAAAGAGAAGAACTTTATTCAGTTTACAGTTTTGGAGGCTGAAAGTCCAGTGTTGGGTAACTCCACCTGGTCTGCCCCTGGTGAGAGTCTTCCAGTTGCATTTTAATGTGGAGGACAGCATCACATGGTGGGAGCCATGTGCAATGGGTCACATGGTACATTAGTCACTTTCCCATCACTAAAACAAACCAACGTCCACAACTTACAGGAGGAAAGGTTTATTTTGGCTCACAGTTTCAGTGGATCGGCTGACTCCAAGGCAGACACGGCATAAAAGGATGGAATACAGGAGGAAGGCTGTTTAGGGCATGACAACCAGGAAGCAGAGGGAAGAGGAGCTGGGGGCAGAGACACACCTTCCCAGCATTCCTGCAGTGAGCTCCTCCTTTAGAGCAGGCCCCATTCAGAAGGGGAGGCTTTGGGGGGCCATTTTAGATCTAAACCCTGACACTCCACCTTTGGTCGCCCAAAGCCTCATCACCATCTCATGCCAAACACGTTAGTCCTTTCCTAAAGTCACAAAGGCTCAACAATTCCAGCACGGCTGAAAAGTCTGAATTCAGAGTTCCCCCTGAGATTTAAGGCAAATCTTAGGGCTAAGCCACTGGGTGTTAAACACTTCCAACAGGGTAAACACACACATTCCAAATGGGAAGAATAGAGGGATACACAGAAATCTGTCCAAAGTAAGACAAAACTCAGCAGGGCAAATATTAAATCCAGTAGCTCCACAACCAGAACCCGGGGCTTGGGTAGCCCTGCCTCGATGGCCTTGTTGGTTGCAGCCCACATGGTTTCTCACTTGGACTGAATCTATGCACTGCCTGAGGCTTCTCTTAGCAGACAACCGAATTCCTGGCAGTTTCATCTTCTTAGGGTCTCTACTACATCTTGGCTTCATTCTTATAACATCACACACTGTCCTCTCATGGGCTCCTGGCCCCAGACCTTCTTCTGAAATCTTAGTGGAAGTCACTGTGACCCCATAACTCTCGCATTGTGCATTCCCCAAAAACCACCACCATGGAAAGGATGCAAAACTTGGCCACCAGCTTGAGAACTAACTGGATTCCCTTGGATCATGGCCGTAGTGGCTGCTGAGTGCTTCAATGCTTGAGCTTAGGGATACACTTCTATAGGTGGCCTTGGATGAGTAAGTGCCACTCTTCTCAGATGAAGAGTTTACAATTTTGCACCCTCAAACCTGGGATGGGTGGAGCTTTACTGATTTCTGCTCCTTGTACAAAGTATTTGGCTTCTTTTTAATGTTAACTTTTTCAGCAATCATGTGTTTTTTTGCCCTACCTTTACAGGTCTTACTTTTTTTGGCAAAATTACAAACTTTAAATCATTCAGCTCCACTGTCTATTCCTGACTTACCCAATAGGTCCAGCTAAAAGCATCCAGCTTTATACATGTCATGGTCTGACCAATGGGCTGCCTTGCAATTTCCTTTGCCAGATCGATTAGTTTGCTGCTCTTAATCTCAGTGTCCTGAAAAGTCCTCAAGTCATGGTAAAATGTAGACAAATTTTTTAATCAGAACATGACATAGTCTCTAACCCAAGCACCAATGGAGTCCTTTTTCCTCAAATGCAACATCGTGACCCTGACCTTTACTGTCCACATTCCTATTAGCGTTACGATCTTCTGAGCTCTGACCAGTATCACACAACACTGCTCACAGCATTCTAGGGCTTCTCTATCCTGCATCTCCAAGCCTTTCCAACCTCCTCCTGCAAATCAGTTCCAAAACTTTTAAACTACATGGTCAGCTACAGTCACAGCAATTGCTCTACTCCTGGTAGCTATTGCGTTCCTGTCCCTGGGACAGTTTGAAGCAGGAGAGGCATATTTTGACTCAGTTTTATTGAGTTCACTCCATGGTTGGCAGATGCCAAGGCAGAAATGACACTGCAGAATGGCATGCTGGAGGAATGCTGGTCTCCTCATGGCAGCCAGAAAGTAGAGAGAGGGCAGAGCTTGGAGAAAAACGAACCCTATAATCTCACGCCCCCGCTGTGGGAGTCTGTCTGGATTTTGTTGTGGTCTGGAGGAGTTGATAAATTATAATCTCAGGAAAAAGTTATTGGAATTTTTGCAAATAAATTCCAACCTACCATTTCCAATGCAAGCCACAGAAACAATAAAGAAACAAAGACACATCAAGACTTGGAGGGAAGAAGGGGTCCTAAATCCAGGCAGAAAAAAGGCTAAATGGAACAAAGGCCACAGCTCAGGGCCAAACCTGTGTTTATTAATTCGTGGAGAGGGGAGCAGCCTGGGGTTGAGTGACTGTGAGGAAGTGGGAAGTGTGTGAGCACTGTAACCTGGGCCTGGTAGGGGGCACGAGGGCACATTTGCAATGTGCAGAGTGAGGGATGCAGAAAGAGTACCAGGTTCTGACAACAGCCTCTAAGTTTGGAGGAATCTGCAGACACAGTTTGAGGAAGTAGTTTGTGTTTCGGGTAGGCTGCTTCAGCTGTGATATCTAGCTTTGATTGCACTGGGACCCCACCACCTCTGTCTCCAAGCTCAGTCCCAGCCAGCAGTGCAGTGTCTCTCAGCCTAGCTCACACTTAGCAGTAGGAAGCTATAGGCGGGCATCACAGACCGGTGGCTTTGCTTCAAAGGCTTACATCACTGCATCATCTCCTCTGGACCCATTTGCATTGTTTAAAGCCACCGAAGGGGGAAGAGCCTTTTCCTAGTCAACTGTGTGCATAGCAGTACCCAGAAGTAGGACAAAGGTGAATCAAAACGGAGGCAAAGTGTCTTCTTTCAGGGGCAGCTGTCTTGGTTGGTCCTCCACACCCAGTCCCTGTCCTTTATGGCCAGGTCCCACTCTCAATGTGAGGCTCAGGGGGCTCATTAGACCTAAACCACAACACACTGCAAGAGAGGGAGCAAAGAATGAACTGTGAAAGTCGAGCTCGCTTTGTAATAATTCCATCCTGTGGTAACCGATCCAGAACCTTGAGAAGAGCACAAACCTTTTCCAGGGATGACCCCCCTGCGACTGAGTCACCTCCCTCTAGGGCTCACCCCTTGAAGGCCCCACTTTCCAGTGCCACAGTGCTGGAGATGAAGCCTCAATATGAGTTTTTATGGAAACAAACCATACCAAGCTACAGCAAGGACACAACAAATTTTTAATCTCCTTTAAATTTAAATAGCAAGAGAAAGAGCAGCTTACATTTCTTGAGTGCCTACTGTGTGCAAATCATCCTGTTCACCTTTTTTCCTTATGATGGGGACTTATTAAATTGCCCAAGCTTGTCTTAACTCTCAGATTCAAGCAATTCTCCTACCTCAGCCTCCTGAGTAGCTGAGACTGCAGGTATGTGCCACCATGTCTGGTTTCTGCCAACATTTTAAAAATACATTATTGATATTTCAAAATTTGTCAGTATATTTTATGTTCTTGCCTTTGTACTTGGTATATATTTTTGCACTGATGGCAGATCTTAATTCGCACTATCCTCATTTCAAGTGCTCCAGAGCCACTCGTGCCACACTGCATAGCAGAGATCTAGACTCTGCTGTCCTCCAACCTTTATGTATCAAAAACGCAGGATCATTTTATTTCGGTGTCTTTCCAGTTTTGCTTCAAAGTCCTTCTGCTTACGCTTCAGCTGATTTCTCAGTCTCATATACCTATTCATGTACTCTGCAGTCTGTTCTTGGAATGTCTCCACTTATTTTTAAATGACATCTACAGTCTGTGAAATTCATCAGATAGTGGAACACCTCATCTGATGGCCAGACTGTGTTGATTATTGTTGTCTTTTAGTTCCGGTAGCTTTATTAGAAGCTGTCTCTCAATAGTTCTTGTTTTTGTACATGCACCACTGAGATCCTTCATCCTATCTGATGCTAATCGCTGATGCAGCGTCTGTATTTGTTATGGCCTACACCTACTTTTTGGAGGGTGGTATGGAAATAGAACTCAGGGCCTCACACTTGCCAGGCAGGCTCTGTGCCCACTGAGTTACATCCCTATGACCTATATCTAGATGTTGCCCCTAAGCCTCATGCACTCATAGGTGAGGTTTTGGGGAGGTACCTGGATCATGGGTGTGTGATACTAGATTGGCCTATGGTGGGTTTATAGTGGGGGGTGTTGCTGAGAGGTGAAGCCTGGTGGGAGGCAGTGGGCCACCGTGAGCATGGCCTGAGATCGACAGAATGTACCCATCCCCTCCTGCCACATCCAGTGTTGACCGCTGTCTGCTGCCATGCTGTGAGCTTTCTTCTCTGCCATAACCCTCTACCATCTCTACCACACTCCTTTGCCTTGGATCCAGCCAACCATGGACTGAAACTCTACAAACTGTGAGCTAAAATGAATCTTTCCTTTTTAACTTGTGGGTTTCAGGTATTTTGTTCCAGCAATAAGCAAGTAACTAAGACAGTCACACCCTTGTGCTTTTCAGTTGATCTCATACCATGCAGGCACGTTCTTCTCCATTCAGGATTCCGCTTCTCCATTAATCACTGTGATGTTTCTCCCTATAGCTCCTTGTATTCCCTTAGTAAATAGTTCTGTCCACTCCCGATCATTATTCTCTAGAGAATTTTTCAATAAATCTTACCATGTTTCTTCACTCAAATTTTAAAAATATAAAAATTAAGATACACTTAAATGCTGCAGTCAACTTCTACTAAGAAAAGTAATAATGAGAGCTAAGCCTCATGAAATGCTTCCTATGAACCATGCCCTGTGCTAAGCACTGGGCAATAAGGCTTATGTCATTTATTTTTTCTAATAGGACTATTAGGTAGGAGCTGTGACAACTGCCATATTTGAGTCAAGATAAGATGGCACAGAGAGTTTAAATGGTTTGTTCTAGGTCACCCAGCCAGTAACGGACAGAGCTGGGCATTGTATGGAAGTCTGCTTGATGACTGAGTTGATTTCCTGAATTCTACACTTAACTGTCAGCAATGACAGTTTGTAAAGGTTGCTCTTGTCTCTGAGCTTGTGAAGATACAACTTTATCAATTATATAGAGTACCTAGGACACCATGGGCCTTCCCTTGCTGGGAAATTGTAAAAATATACACATGGACTTCTCATGAGCCAGGCTCCACCATGGGGATCAGGACGAGACTCAGCAAGAAGACAAATCACACCTTCCCACAAGCTAGCCCATGCGTGGGCTGGGAAACCAGAAGACTCCCACCCTGCACCTCCACTCTCCCCTGCAGCCGGGGCAACTGGCTGATTCCGAGGACTCAGAATGAGATGATAGCAGCTGAACAGCTTGATGCTTGTATTGTTTGATTGACTTTGAAGATCGGGGACTGGGGGGCTGGGCTCTGTTTGGAGGATGACAGTGTGCACCTATGGGGGATTTCCTTCTGTCTTGTTTTTGAAATCCAGTGTTTTGTTTTGTTTTAATATATTGTTTCAATATATTGTTTTATTCCTCTACCTGGTAACCTGAGCAACTATTTTGAAGATAACAATATGCAGTATGACAACCATTATTAAATATTTTTTCCTTAATATCCTTAGAACTACCTGTGAAGCAAGATGTCAGGAGTTCAAGTTAAGGAGTCACAATAGAACCCAGCGGCAGCAGAGAGAGCGAGAGAGAGCAGAAGTCAGAGGACGGCAAGCTCAGAGGTGAATGGAGGGGGAGCTGCAGCATCTGGAGAAGACGGAGGAGGGAGGGGGGAGCTTTGAGGGCTCGTGCTTTCCCTCGGTAATTTTATTTTGTTAAGACAAGTGCTGCTGGGAAGAAAATGAAAAGCTGAAGACAGAGGAGAGCATGCGGAAGGGGCAGATGCTGAATGAGCAACGATCCCCAGGGTCAGGACCGTGAGATGTCTGGGGCCCATCTGGGGGGAACATGCTTGTTGGTTCTAATACTTACGTCTGCTTGTATCTGCATCCCACAACGGCTTCCCGCCATCACTATTAAATATTCCCAGGGACAAATGGCTTGGGAAGTTGTTAATCAAAAACACTGTATGTCTACTGGGTATAACTTCATGTGCTTTTTAGTGAAGAAAAAGAAAACGATACCAGAGTGTGGATACTGTGGCATCCCCACATAGGTGATATGGAAGGGACACTAAGTCTACCCCCACTTAAAATTGTCACCTTCGAGCCCTGAACTGTCCTACCACTTGAGTTACCTTCCTAAGGAGTCCTGTTAAAATACAAATGGACCAAAACAATCTTAAAAAAGACACCCACACTCATCATAAGTTATTCCCAATTGTCAAATGGTGGAAAGAAGCTGTGCCCATCGGTGAACAAGTAGAAATCAAAGGCGGTATCCTAATAACAACCTGGATGAGTCTTGAAGACACTACGTGAAGTGAAACAAGCCAGACATAAAAAGACAAACACGGGGCTGGGAATTTAGCTCAGCGGCACAAGCGCCTGCCTTGCAAGCAGGCAGTCGTGAGTTCAATCCCCGGTACCGATAAAAAAGGAAAAAGACAAAAAAAAAAAAAAAAAAAAAAAAAAGACAAACATTGTGTCATGCCATTTATCTGAGTTACCTAGAGGCACCAAATTCATAGGGACAGAAAGCAGAATGTAAGTCACCAAGGAGGGAGGTGAGCAGGGACTAAGGACATGGTAATACTAATGGGAAACAAATTAAAAGCTGAAAACAGAAGGGACCAGGGGAAAAGGGAGAGGGAGTTTCAGTTTAGGATAATGAGAAAATCCTAGAGCTGGAGGGTGTGGAATGTTTGCACAAGTGTGTGTGAATATATCTTATGCCATTGAACTGTACATTAAATTTTACCATAATTAAACCAACCCAAACTGAGTCATTTACAGAGTGACCGGCCCTTGGCCACTCCTTCTCCCCTATTCCTGGTTTGTCCAGATTTTCCTTTCAGTAGAGGGCACTGCACCCACAGCAGGACTTTAAGGAGCCGGGGCCCTAAGGGTTGCAGATAGAGATGAGTCCTGGGGCTGGTATCTCCCTCTGGGCTCTGGGGTGCTTCGAGCAAGGCCGGGCCTGGGGTTCTGATCCTGATTGGAGGGGTACAGCCTGCTGGCTCCTCAGGAACAAAAGATCAGGAAAACTCAGACACTGACAAGATAGTTCTGAGAGAGCCACAAGATGTCCCTGTGCACAAGCGGGTGTAAGGGAGGCTGTGACACTGCCCCACTGGGTCACAGCACGGATGAGGAGCTGCAGACAGTGCCCAGCGGGGGAGGCCGCTCAGCCTCATGCACACCTTAGCTTGGCTGATACACGTCCTTCTCCAATGGGCCCTGGAAAAGGAAAGCATTTTGGTTACACAAAGTATCATTTGAAACATTTCTCATTGATGAGAGAGACAGAATTGTTATGAGTAGAGGAACACTCAAAAAAGGAATAAATTACATTTCCATGCTTCTCCTGCTTGAGTCCCAAGCTAAACAGATGCTATTTTTATCAAATACTTTCTATTCTGTCTGCTTTGCCAACATTCTATTATTAGACAGATCAGAGAAAGTCTGAATTTGATTTCTTTCCCTCCCACTTTTGCAGGAGTGGTCATTTGGGCAGAGGCACTGTCTTATCAAGAGGAGGGAAATGATAAGCAATGGCAGCCACCTGGACGCTTACCTTGTTGCCATAGCATCCCAGAAATGGGCTTTGCCTTCTTCAAAATGACATCTACTCCTAGCTTCACCCAACCCCAGATGGTGTAGTTGTGGGATGCAAAAAAGTATGTGTTTTGAAGTATTTACAGCCTGATTTCCCCCACCCTCACTTCCTGTAGCCAGCTAAGTTCTCAAGTATTTCTCATGCACAATATGGAAGCATGTGGGAAGGGATTCTGAATGATGCAAATTTGTGGGTGGGACAGCTCAGTAGGTCCACCTAAGAAAAGCCAGGAAGTCACCTCCTAAAGAAGCAGAATAGATCAGAAGGTAAAATAGGAGAGACAGGAGCCAGGGACAGGGCAGGAGACAGGATGCACTGAATTGGGGGGTTCAAGAGATAAACTGGAGTTAACAACTGGGCTGTCATGAGGAACATTTGGAAAACAGGATTTTTTTCAGAAATGTCTTATGAATGGAATTCACTTCCTCTCTTTGGTATTTTTAAAGAAGATTTCAGTAAAAACATAAATTGGCTCAAAAACTATGTTTTGTATGAGAGGGCTGGTGTTTATTCAAGGAAGCTCAGCCTACAGAGAGGCTAGAATTTAACCGAAGGGAGTTTTGTCTTTCCCCGCTTCCTCCATCAGTGCAGATCATGTTCCCAATAGTTTGTATCGGTGTCCTGGGATGGATGTGGATGCCAGAAGTATTTTGTTGAGCCAGTTGAGAGTTAATTTTTTTAAACCACTATGGTGAATTAGAAATTCGTATTTCAAAAGCCTGCATTTTCATTCCCACTTTTCCATTGGACACCTGGTAATGTGAGGCCCTCATTTCCCTAAAGCAAACACTGGCTCATGCTCTCTAGTTAACCCCAGCGGCCACCACCTCTCTGAGCTGTGCAAATGTACATACGCCCGGCCCATGTTCTGCATTTGTATTTGTTACCATCTGGCAATGGAGTCTACAGAATGCAGAACTGATCTCTTGAATTGTTCTAAGACTTGGAAAAGCAGGAAAAATTAAAAATAAAAACTGCTGGGAAACATCAGCATTAAGAAGATAATACAGACTTGTTAAACAGAAAATGGGTGTTCAGGGAGGCAAGCCTAATAACTGCCCTTTTTACCCCTCATTGGCTGCTTCTAGAAAAGGCAACTAAGAAGCCCCAGTGCAGGTACTCATGCCGTGGAGACAGCATGAATACAATCCAGAGCCCATCGAAGGAGAAGGTACCTATAACTCCCATTTTAGGCTACGCCTCACCTTGAAGGAGTATACTTTAGAGCTAGATGAACTGGACCTCGCAAAGGCTCCACAAGATCCAATGAACTTAATACTTTAAATCCATTAACCTATTAAGGTGACCTGAGATTGCTGGTATCCTTAGGTTCCTTGCAAAAGCAAATGTAAAGACTCTCTGGGGAATTATTAATGACATCCTATAAGAAAAGGGTAAGTCCAATAAGTCTCACCCTACTTCTATCAACAATGTTTCACATACAATTTTAGCACATCTGAAAATGACCAGACACATGCGGAAATAAAACATGAAAGTGATACAATTGGAACAACTACAATAGAAACAATCCCAGAGAACTCTAGTTTTTGGAGTTATCAGAAGTAGACTTAAAAATGTTTACTGAAGATAAAATGAGATAAAAGACAGTATCCAAAAATTGGCAGGTAACTGGAAATTTAAAAAGATGATGAAAGGAGTTTGCACAGTACACTAACCGCTGTGGGAAGAACCGGACACCAGCTTTTCCCATGAGTCAGTGTCCTTCTCAGACTGCAGGGAAAGAGAACAAGAAGTCAACAAGAAGCTGAGACCTGCTCTGAGTCGGCGCCACGTGTGGGCTGACTGGGGGAGAGCCAGACGCTGGCCCCTTCCAGTGCACGGGCAGGGAGACAAGAAGAGCCAATGTTCCTCGTCTCGTAAGTGACCAGCGGATCTGGAGAGATACAGGCTATGATGATAGCTAATGAGGCAAAATACAATTTAATGCGTGTCGTGTTTAGTGTTTTACTGACTTTGCAGGCCTAAAGCCTGCATCTATTAAGAGGATCATCTATTAAGAGGATAACAATATGCAGTGTAGCACATATGGGGGATCTCCTCCTGAAGTTGTTAGTTCCCTAGTATCTGGTTTCAAAATCCTGTATTATTCTCATTGTTTTGTTTGTTTGGGTTTTATTTGGGTTATCTTGTTTGATTGTATTATATCTGATGGCATGGGCAGCTATTTCAAAGATAACAAGATATATTACGGTAGCCATTTTGGATTTACTATTATCTTGTTTTGAAGTCCTGTATTGCATTCATTGTTTTGTTTTTATTGGTTTTATTCTGTTCTGTTTTGTTTGATTTTTACCATGGCTGAAGGTATTGGCAGCTATTTTGAAGACAATAAGAGACATTTTGGTAGCCATTATCTAATTATGAAGTCCTGCATCACTTATAGTTTTCCTTTGATTGAAAAAGAAAAATGGTGAAGCCAGGGTTCAGCTCCGTGGCTCAAGTGCGCGCCTGCTAAGCACAAGGTCATGTGTTTGATCCCTGATACCAAAAGAGGGGGGAGAAAAGATGGTGATGAAAACTAGAAAAATAAATAGAAACTTAGAACTGAAAAATATACCAGTAACAGTAAAGAGCACTCAGTGGATAAGTTTAACAGGAGATCAGACATAGCTAAAGAGAGAATTGATAACCAGAGTTGCAGATTAGAAGACAATAAACAAGTGAAACACAAAGATAACAGGATGGAAAATGCTGTAGAGAGAATAAGAGACAGGAGGTAAAATGAAAATAAGTTCTAAATGGAGATAAGAGGAAATAGGGGAGGAGCAGTATTTTTTAAAAACTTGGTTGAGAAGATTCAAGCAAAGATGGCAGATAGATAACAGCTGGCTACAGAGGCTCCCTGAGATAGTCAACTTAGAATTCAATATAATACAGAGTGGGGAGCCCAGAACAGAAAGAGATGAATTCTCTCATCCCAAGAAGAAACTAAGGTGAGAAGAACCAATCAAACATACAGTCCCGGTGCTACTACTGGAACAGCTAAAGGTTCAGTGCTCCCCTGCAGCGAGCGACTTGTGGAATCATCTGAGGTCCTGCAGCTTCAACTCACTGGAGGTGCAGTCACACTGAGCTGAGGGTCGCCAGCTGAATGGAGAGCTGAGCTGGTGGGGAGCCTGCATCGACCTGTGGTGAGTGACGGGAGTGGAGCCATTCCACAGAAAGGGGGACTCTGGCGGAAGACATTCTAGGACCAGGCAGGACTGGCAAATACAAGGGGCAGCAGCGACTTCAGCCAGTTGTTCCCTTCCCAAACGGGATTGGTGGAGTGAGCTAGGCCTGGGTCACACGACCTGGCTGAGACCCAATAGATTATCCAAAATCAATTATCTACAGCAGCGGTGCACACTAACACAGTGAAGGCATCAGAAGTTTGACTGACCTGGAGGGTAGGCGGCACACAGTAAAACAGTGCAGGCCTCAGCAGCGTGACTGATCCAGAGGGGATCAGTTTGCAACTCACTAGCACACGGCAATGGGAAAGGTCACCTAGCCCAGCGTGCTTCAGAAGAATTGTAACCAATAAAGAAAGAAACTAGGGCTTCCTGAAGAAACAAAAAGATGGGAAGAGGAAGCAACAACAAAAAGTCCCCAGGTCCCAACCCTGAGAACATGGACCCAGGACAGGTAAATACAAAGGAGAATGAGAACAGCAAACATGCAATATCAGACACAGCACCAGTGGACATAAAGAGATATCTTCAGGACCTCATAGATGAGTTCAAAAGGGAAATATTTAGCCAAGTAAAGCAAGATATAAGAAAGTTAATGAAAGAGATGCTAAGCACCCCTCAAGAAGACACAGACAAAAGAAGGGAGGAACTCAAACAAAGGAGAGAACCATTTGATGGAGAATATAAAGAAAATATAGAATACATGAAGAAGATTCAAAGAGATTACCAGGAAATTAAAAGCTCTATGGAAAGATGGCAAATCTGCTTGAAAGAAACTAAGGATAGATAATCCAAACTGGAGGACAGTTTTGCCATGTGGGATTATGAAAGGAAAACCTTTTTAAAAATAACTAGAAAACAAGCAGTAATGATACAAAGGCTAGAAGATGACAAGAGGATCTACAACTTGAGAATAAAGAATGTGAATGAAGAATCAGGGGTACAAACAAAGGAACTACAAAGGCTATTCACAGAAATAATTAAGGAAAACTTCCCAACATAGGAAAAGGAAATGATATTCAGATGTATGAGGCATACAGAACTCCTGCCACCTACAACCAAAACAGAGCTACACCCAGGCATATAATAATTGAGATCCCAGAAATTCAATGTAAGAACAGAATATCAAAAGCTGTTAGAGACAAGAAACAGATAACCTATAAAGGAAGGCCCATCAGAATTATGGCAGACTTCTCGACACAAACCATCAAGTCAAAAAGAGGCTAGAGTGAAACATTCCAAGCCCTGAAAGACAATAACCTCCAGCCCAGATTGATATACCCTGCTAAACTGTCCCTAGAAATTAATGGAGAAACAAGATGCTTCTAAGACAAAGAGGAATTTGGGATATTTGCAACCACCCATCCAAGTCTACAGAAAATACTGCAGGGCATTCAAGAGAGAGAGAGAGAAAAGTACTAGGATTC